TATATATAATAATGACAATGATGTTACCGTGATAATGAGAATGTTATTTGATATTGTTTCAAATATGATTCATAAACTTACTTTTGTTCCTTCTTCCCTTACATTATCACGCTCGCCTGCACCGCGAAGTACCATGGTAGCGATGTTATCAAATGGGTTCCTGACAATGTGTATGAATTTCATTGGTACTCCTACGTTTTTAGCGATTTCGTCTAAATGTTTGATACTGCTTGGGTCTTTACTTATAAGCAACGAAGTTCGTCCCCCTTTTTTGTCTCCTATCACCTAAAAGAAAAGTTGTGTTAAAGCCAGTACAGAAAATACGTCAAGTAAAATGAGGGTGTTCGAACTCAAATTTGAAGTGCGGTTTGGAAAGAGTTTCGCTCTCTCTGTAGGTTATGCTTTTTGTTATTACGTGCAACCAAGCCATATAGAAACACAAAAGTCCTTGTGAAACTTCAGCTTCTTATCTGGGACAACGCAAGCCTCGTTGAAATATTTTCCCAAGCAGGAACAGATTGTCACTTGTCGAAAGGTTAAATCGCTTAAAATCTTTTTCTTCAGAGTGAAAATATATTTACCATTAAGAAAGATATTAGATGAACTTATCCAGCAAAATTGTGACAATTTTTAGGAACATTTATGAAAACCATTATCCAAAGACCCTTCAACTCTGAGGAAACTTAAAAAGCTGTATTCGGTTTCAAAATGCTACGGAAAGAGCTCCCGGCATGACTAATATTTTTGATACGGTCGGTAAGGGTAGGGTTTAACAGCTGACGGACCGAAAGATTTTAGAAATCGTAAAATTGTGAAGAAATCGCCGAAGTGTTATTGATTAAACGATGGGCATTGTTTAAATTGATAGGTGTATCGTTATTCATGTCTGGGCTCAAGACAATAGTTCGCTCGCTCGAAACGAGCCATTTTTGGAACGCATCTTTGACTAACGATTTCAAAATCAATAGGAGAGTAGTTCTTGTTGACCAATTTTCAAAACTAAGGCGGATTCTGTCAGAGGGAAGGTGTATCAGCCATTTGACGTGCGTTGGTTTTTAGTCGGTAGTTAGGGTTTTAAGAAAATCGATCTTGAAATGACTTTCATACAAAAAGTTAGCGAATTTTGTGCAGTTTCAAGTAAAAAAGGACAATTCTTCTTCTAGAGCTCAGAAAAATGAGCTAAGTGGGATAATTTAGGGCTCATCAAACCAAGGTCGCGTTTAAATTTGCCGCTTTATTGGTTATGAATCCTTGATGATGTCCACGATTTCTGCTCGAGAAGTTTTCAAGGTTGGCATTTCGAGCGTTATAGCCCTTCATCAGGCTGATGAAGGGCTAAGACTTTAAATCTCGAGTTTTTACGGTGGCCAATTTACATTATAAAAATTAGGAGATATACCTAATTATCTTGTAATACCCGCCACCGATGCAGGTGCATCCTCTTTATTCTTCAGGATAAGCTTGGGCTGACTGTAGTATGTGATAGTAACCCATGAGCTATGAAAATCGTCTTCTGATCCTACCTTGAT